AGTCCAACTGAAGAAACCAAGATTTTTCTAACCTAACCAGTCTGAAGACTGAAATTAACTGTCAACATTCTTTACTTCTCTAGAAGTGATTCTAGCTCTTCTTGCAAAGAGCTAAGTTGTTCCTTTTCTCTGTCTTCTTTTTGTTTGAGTTCATCCAGCACAGCTTGAAACCTGTTCTTGAGAGCCAGGTTTTCCACTTTCATGATGAGATCTTCTTGTCGTTTTGCCCTGTCCTGGGTCTCTTGGAGCTTGCCTTTCATGTTATCAATCTGTTTCTGAATTCCCATAACCAGCTGATTGGTTCCTTCATTTTCTTGGTGCTGCTCATCTGACTCATTTAGCTTGTCCTGTAGCTGTCTCTCCAGATCTTCCTCAGTATCAATGATGTTTACATCTTCTTCATCTTGATGCTGTGTCTCATCTTCATCTTCACTGCTGCTGCTGAGGTCATTGAATATCTCTCGAAGCTCATCATGTTCTAATGAGTCATGGCCCTGCCTGTGGCCAGACATTCCTGGAGATGAGATATCAAGGCCTTGATTTTCTGTTTCTTTTGTTTCATCTTCAGCAATTATTTCCCAACGAGTACTGACAGCTTCAGCATCCGTACTCAGCAAACGCTTCACTTCTTTTTCCACATCTGGAGATTCAATATACTTCTTTTTTGCTGTCTTCCGGAACCTTCTCTTTCTGACATTTTTTAGAGGCAGAGTAATTCCATGGTTCCAAACAAACTTTTTCTCTTTGTCTTTATCTTTTTTCTTGCTTGCTTTGGGATCAGCAGCAGCAACTGGTTCCTCCACAGGAGGATAGAGATCACCATCAACTGTGGATACAAGCATCTGACAGATATCCGCTGTCTTGTAGAAAGTTTTTTTATCAATGGTTTTCAGGCTTTCCATAACACAGGGCAGATCTACCAATTTTGAGGCCAATGGAACCCGGTCCACTCTGACAATTCCATGCCTCCCATCAGGGTGTAACTCAATGGTCAGTCTGTCTTTCAAGTTGACATGGCCAGACTGTACTGCCCTCCTCACAGTAGAGGCGTATTCTGGAGGTAGGCGTAAGATAAACTGGCTCTCTAGTTCATGAGGAGCATCATCTTTGCTCTTACTCATCTTTACTTCTTTGTGATTCACTTCTCTAATAAACACTTGTTGCACTAAAAAGTTCAAGCTACTGAAAGAGTTAAAAAAGACCACTATTATGAACTGAAATCTTTTTAACTAGAGCTCCAAGTATAACAGCAGCTAAGCAGAACAGAGAAGCAGAACACAAGCTAAGCGGCTATTTGTCTTAATTTTTAATTAAGCCCCAAGTCTTTTCTCTGAATGTGCTGTGCTGGAACACCAGTCGCTATTAACACACGGGTTTATTCATGCATTTAAGTTCACTTAAGTATTATTAGATGCAATGCCAAGTTCCAACCTCTAGGTGCCGCTGCCGTGCAATGCAGACAGAGTAAACCTGCGGGCCAGCAGGAAAGCAAATGGCGGCTCTTGCGGAGTGATTTTCGGCATAGAAAGTCAGACAATCCCAAGCAGGAAAACAAATGGCGGCTCCTGCGAAATGATTTTCGACACAGAAAGTAAGGCTTGGCAGACAGTCCCAATCCACAAACTCTCCCGAACAAAGATATTCAAAAGGCGGGGCGCAGCGAGCTCTCTTCGCCTCAGGTACTTACAGTCCACTGGAGATTATAAATTCAGCTTCTCTGGGTCGGGACGAAACGGCGAGGAAGTCGGTCGGGAGCCAAGCGGCTGGGTGCCGAGCAGCCGGGAGCCGATCGTCTCACTTTCGATTCCTCTCTTCTTGCTGCGTGGCAGTGTGATCCGCTACTGATTATCAATGAAGGAGCCCAGGAACTGCGGCGCGAAATCTGCTGAAAGCACCAGACTGTACAGCCCAGCACGCCCGCGTCTGGACACGCAGACGCACTGCGGAGAGGAAAGCACTACGTCACGGCGCGACGTGGGAAGCGGCTGTGATTGACAGTCGGACCCAGCCGGAAGTATCAGCCTCTCCAGCGCGCGCAGGCGCAACACACAATTACGCTACCCGGCGTGGACACGTCTTTTCGCGAGATTTTCCTTCACGAGATTAAAAATGACAGTGTTTCCCAAGGATGCTACGGGTTGAAAATAAGACAGGAAGATTCCAAGAGAAGACATAAACTCGCTCTCCTTAAGACAGCCCTTTTAGTGTTGGCGAGGATGCGGGGAAAAAGGAACCCTCTTACACTGTTGGTGGGAATGTAGACTAGTACAACCACTCTGGAAAAAAATTTGGAGGCTA